TTTAAAAAACACAAATAGTCATGCCATGTTTATCAAATCAATGTTATTTGCACTGAGATCATTCTGTCGTTTTTGAGGTTGTACCCCATTACTGCCTTTCCCACTCTCTTATTGACTATGAGTGCTACTCCATTTCTGAATAAGACGCCCTTCAATTTTTAGGGTAAGGATTTTAGAAAAAAGTATCGCCTTATAGTCGGAAAAATACAGTAATTATTGTTACGAAGTGTAGCCATGGCAAAATGCTGTTTTAAAATGCAGCATATAAAAGACTTTAAAATAAAACAAGCAACTAAATAATTAGATTCTGAATTCCTGAATTTTAGCCAGGTAACTCCAAATTGGCAGCTGGGGGAGAGCAGTTAAAATTACATCAGTTAAATAACATTCAGCTCCAAATCTAAGCCTCATGAAAACATCAATTAATAATAGAACATAGTATGCAGCACATAATCAATCAGTCCGAACAATTTTTTTGAAACAGCTATCAAAGCTGACAGAGATAAACATGACAAATGTGTCAGAGAAAAGATCCATAGTTTTGGTGCCACCAATGAAAGATACGATTGGTGTAATTCAGTCTTTCTTGAGGACAAGCATCTAGGAGAGAATGGTAAATCTATTGATTCACCCCAAAATCTGTTATTGCCCCTTCCTAGGATGGTCTTATGGGTGAGGGGATACCCCAAGATTTCATGGCAACCATGGATGGTTCCAAATGGTCCCTGCATTGATTATCAATGGGTTCCTCGGCATAAACAACTGGATTTAAAGCCCAGAAAGGCATAGATGCAAGAAAATTAGAGGCTGTCTGCTTTTATGCCACTAATCCATATTTTAAGATCTAACAGAGAAGCCTTTTTTAAATATCCCAACTTTGATGCAGGCTCAGTTCACATGGAAAAGAGAAAGGGAGATCTCAGTGCTGAACTTAAATTGTGGAATATTCTACTTCAGGAAGCAAGGTTTGTTTTTTTATTTATATCATATGACTCTTGCCCTTTTCCTCAGGATTCAAGTCAGTGTTCACTGAGTCATATCCTATGAGGTGGTAATTGGACCAAAGTCATCCAAGTGACCTCTCTGCCAGCAAGCCATAGAGGAGATCCTACTTGTCTCCTCCAGACCACTTGCAAGCCAAAGGTACTCTAGACTGAGTTGTTCTGATGTGCACTATGAGCAATCCCTCAACATGCACTACAGGTGATCAGCCCAGAGCCTTCTTAGTGCACACTGAAGGTCTTCCAGGCTGAGCAGCTTCAGCACATGCTGTAGGCAATCCTAAAGCCACTGAGCCTTGGAGCACTTCAGCCAGTGCTGGAAGAGAAGGCTGACATCAGTACTGGTCCAAAGCATTTGGTGGCTATCTGAATGGCTTTGTTGAGGTGAATCAAGTCAGGTCTTTGCTTTGACAATGTGAATACTGTTGCTTCTATAGCATGAATAATGTCACTGTAGCAAATCTAAGTTGCTTCACACAAGCCTAATATTATTCAATTTTGTGTCATCTATAAATGTGATTAGCATTCTTTCCACCTCTTTATCCAAATCAATAATAAAAATATTGAAGAGTAACATGCCCAGGACTGAACCCTGTGGCACTCCAATTAGTACCTTCTTTCTAGTTTGATGAGAAATAGCTAAAGAGCATTATCTGAGTTCAGTTTTTGAGCTAATAGTGTATTGAACTAACTCTCAAACCATTTAACCCACATTTTTTTGCTAAGCAGAGTGTCATGGGTATTTTGTTAAATACCTTACCAAAATCGAGATATATTATGTCACCAGCATTCTCACAGTCTACTAAGGAAGCTGGTAGCTCCTCATGAAAAACAGCAAGTTTGACAAAGTCATGCTGACTCAAAGTCATGCTGACCTTTTTGGAGCAAATGAACTAAGAGTTGATATGCTGCAGACTCTAAGGAAAGGTGGGGCAATCAGTAGGCAGGACACATCAGTTACCCTTTCCTAGCATACCTAGATATGTTTCTTTCTAAAGGCACAAAGAATACTTACTTATTCAGGCTGATGTGTGCCCATGTTTACTCACTTCAAATACTCCCCTTCACTCATATAGTCCATAAAAGACCCTGTCAACTCAGCAAAATCTTCCAATACAAGACTGGTAGAGTCCTCACCAGACAGGTCACTGTCAGGTCGAGATTTCCTAGGATGAGCAGAATGAGACACAGTGCAAGGAACCACAGGAGCTGTTGGGCCAACTGCAGGTGAATCACCTATAGGCATTACTGGCTCTTCATACTCTGCTACTTCCTTTTCCACCTCTGTGTCTGAAGCAGGTCCTAAGACATGATAGAGGCTGGGCAGACGGATGTCAAATTGAAGGCCAAACTTAGCAAAAAGCTTTTCATTCAAGGCATATAGCTTTTCTGAGATGTCATAGCCAAGGAGGACAGAGAAGAGACGTGCAATATAGCGCTCCTTAGCCAGAAGCAAATAAAGCTTTTTCCTTTGCCAAGAGATGAAACAGGAGTCAGTCTCTGCTGTCAAAGTTACCTACCAAAGAAAGAAGAGAAAGAAGTTCAGTTATTTGTTTTTAAGGGTAACAAAGGCACTATGCTACCTCACATTCTGTTAAGAGATTTACTGGACATTTAGTACAAGAAATTTACAAGAAATCCACATTTTGAAAGGAATTCAAAATGTCACCCGTTGGGGGGAGATGGGCGGCATACAAATTTAGTAATAAATAAATAAATAAATAAATAAATAAATACAATATTGCTTATTTGTGTGCATACTGTCTTTGAAAGTGAGATTTTACAATACATTGCTGAAGTATTTATTGAATAGTTTGGAACACAATGTGTAAGTTTTGCTTGCAAATGTACTTTTACATTTGTACTTTTAAAAAGCTCAGTTACATTAGGAAAAATGGATTGAAGTTTGAGATTGACAGAAACATGGATAGGGTGCATCTATTTACTTGAATGAGTATAAATAAGAACATAAGCAGTGCCCTGCTAGGCAGACCCCTGGCCCTTCTAGTTTCTCACAGTGGCCTATCAACTGCACAAGGAAGCCCACTAGTCTCCCAGTAGATGGCCTTTAGAGGCAGTCACACCACCATCAAGGCTAACAGCCACTGATCCCCATGACTTCCATGTATTGCTCCAACCCGTTTTTAAAGCCACCAAACTGGTAGCCAGCACCAATCTCATGGTAGTGAATTCCACAGTTGAATTATGTATTGTGTAAAATCCCCATGGACAGATAAACTGCATACAAAGATACTGAAGGAATAATGGGCTGGCTGAAGTTTTATATATTACAGTTGACAAGTGTGGAAGAACTGATGAAGTGCTAGATGACTGGACAAAAACCAATATTATCCATATCTTCAAAAAAGGGAAGAAGTAGATCCAAACAGGTACAGAGCTGCCAATTTGATATCAGTACCTGAGAAGATGCTAGTGCAGTTCATAAAGAGTACATCTGTAAGCTTCTTAAAGCAATGCAGACATTACTGGTAGCCAGCATAGATATATCAAGAGCAAGTCTTGCCAAACTAAATTTGCCTCATTTCTTGATTGGGTTATTTCCTTAATAAATTGTGGGAATGCTGCAATAATATATCTTGATTTCAACAAAGTCTTTATACCATGGCATTCTAATTAGCAAGCAGGTTGCTAATTGTGGACTGGATGGTATTACAATAAAGGAAATACATCAGGTGGTACTCTAAAACACAGCAAGGCAACCCACAGCCCACAGGCCATACATAGCCTGAACTCCCACGCACACACATACCTTTGAGGCCAATCATGTGAAATTGTACAGCATATTTATGTTTTTCTGCCAGTCGTTTGCTCATATCTAGTACTGCAAAAAGTCCTCTGTATTTCTTTCCTAGGCTTATGGATTGCCTCCTCCAATCCCAGTTCAGCACATGGCTGAATTAGAAGCTAGAGCTGCTGTCTGGACAGGTTTCCTCTATCCTTACTTGCTGAGGTTTCCTGCCAAAACTCAGCAATATACTGCAGCAGTAACTACAGCATCTTTCTCCATCAACTATTACACCTTATTCGCCCCACTTTGCCCATTTGAAGACTTGCCAGTAAATTATGAAATATTCTCTCCTGAAAACTTGCAAAAAAGAAAGCCATTTTGCATCATCATTTCACTTTCTTATTTCCTGCTGTGGATGCACTCGCACTACTATGTTGTGTTGCTCTTTCCTTCTTCCTGTGCTTTAGAAGACCACTGCAAATGTGTGCAGGCAGGATTTGTTGTTGCCTGAAGGCAGATCAAGGCAACATTTCAAACAACAACAGGGGAAGGATTCTAACAATTAGAATGGCTATTATTAAATTATTTGCCAATAACAGAAATAGTAGATGTGGCTATTGTTGAATAAATTGATGACATAAATATTTGGACAGTGAAACTAAAATAATGACAAAAATATTTGTTTTGGGTTTTTACTTTGAGTGGATGATATTGCAATCAAACATGCAGGTATAGATGGGGATTCCCTGGCCTGGAAATAGTAGTTGTAAAAAGGATCATGAAATTGTAGTTGATCAGAAGCTGAATATAAGTCAGCAGCAGGATATGGGTGCTAAACTGGCAAGTGCAGCTTTAAGATACATCAACTGAAATACAGTTTCCAAATCACCAGAATGGGAAGAACCAACAGATTCTACTGCCAGACCCCATGTCTAGTACTGTTTCCAGTTTTGGGAGGGAGGGAGGGAGGGAGGAAGGAAGGAAGGAAAAGAAATCAAAGATAGGAACATATGAAGAAAGATTGCAGAAACCCAGTATAGATAGCCTTGAGAAAAAGTGGGTGAGAGGGGATTTGACAGCACTGTTCCAGAAAATGAAAAGGTGCAACACAGAAAAAAGCTAAGACCATTCTCATTCCAGAATGCATGTCTCAGAATTAAAGTCTTAAGTTATAGGAAAGCAGTTTACAGTTCCACCTTAGGAGAAACTTTCTAATGGCAAGAACAATTTAATAGTAGAACCAAATACCCAGAGAGGTGGCAGGCTCCCCTTTGCTTGCTATGTTCAAGCCATCATCTGTTAGAGAGTTTTCATTTTGATTCCTGCACTGAGCAAAGTGTTGGACTTGATGATTGCCTGTTTGAATTCTATGATTCCATATATATGCTCATTTATGGAAATCATCTATCCTGCCCAGTTTATAAAAAGTATGCTTTACAATCAATGCTGGAAACCTTTTCAGGACTCATGTCAAGTGTTTCAACTTGTGAAAATGTAGGAGCAGGAGATAACTGAGCCCTGAGCTGGTTCAGACACACGTGCATGGTACTGACGGCATGGCCAGCCAAGCCACGATCATTCTTTATCCCCATATGCATTTTAATGGTGAAAAAAATATCCTGATCTGAATCTCATATAACAGTGCAAAAGGCCAAATCAGACAAATCTGAGTAAAAAATTAGCACTCGGCACTTACAGCAAAGCTGATGAGCAGCAGCATTGTGAAGGTCTGTTTGAGGGAAAGGATTACGCCATCTAAAATGTCACTGGTTACAAATCTGGCTTGAATGTCAGTCACATCTTCCTTTCTCCTTTTTCGCTATACTTTCTAAAAACAACTTGTCAAATTAGGAGTTCTTTACAATGTGTTGATTTTCAGCTGGTGAAGAAAGATATTACTTTAATATCAGGGTTGGTTTTCACCTCTCATGATCAGCAGAGCTGCCTTTGTGTTTATACTACTGCAACTTCTTTTTGAATTTCTGAGTCGCAATGATTAAAAGAATTTCTGGAAAAGATCCCAGCACACCTCCATTTAGAACCCTAATTCTGGGCCTCACCAATATCTAATCTCTTCAGTAAGGGTTTGTTTGACGCATGCCTAGTGGAATTTTCATCTGTTTTTTCTCTGCAAGCAGATTTTTCAGCAAGTGCTTTTGGAAAGTTTCTCCTCTTTCAAGAGCAGCTTAGTATATACTACAGGCAGTGGAGGCAAACATTCCAAGACACAGTAAACAAACTGAACTGCTCAAACACTTTCTTGGGTGTTCACACTCTTTGCTCCTCAACAGAAAATCAGAGATGGAGGAAATCATAAGGAAATTCTATTTTGCAAGAACTTTACCTGAAATGTTCCCTCTTCAGAAGGCCGTAATGATTCCCATTCTGGGGAATCCAAGAATTGATATGGGAATACATAATGTAAAAACTGTCCATCCTGACTTACTTTAACCCTGCAGAAAGAGAGAAAGGAGGGGCAAGGAAATTATTTTTCTTTCCAAGGCGGTTCATCAAAGGTCATTTCTCCAGTTGCTGAACATTTAACTCAGAAAAAGATGTTTGGTAAGGTCCATGCAGGAACAGGTGGTCATTTAGGTACAAACAGCACTACCATATGGAATGAAGTTGTTTTAGACAGTAGTATCTGTGGCAAAGGAGTGACACTTTTAAAAAATAACCGTTAGACGATAATAGCAGATTGTTCTCCACAATATACAGTATGTGACACAAAGACAGACAAAGGCAGGCAGGTGCAATTAGAGTAGCAGTCTGGAAGAAGGAAGCAAAAGTCAGGCTTCATGCTCGGCACGCAAACTGCCACTCGTTAACGTGCCCCTAGAAGAAGCAGGCATATCGCAGGAAGGGTCAGCTGCTTTAACCAGGGCATTTAAACAATGACCCTTCCTACTAACTGCAAGGGCAAAGTTTGATGCGGCAACTCCCTTCCCTGTCTCGTTTTGCCCTTGTTCAGAAGCATGTGTTTACAACAGAACAAGGGGGACACTTTTTGTCAAAGTAATGATATCCCCAAGTGTCAACTATCCTGCCCCTATTCCTGCCTTACAACAGTTAGGACTTTTTCAGAGTTCCCCTCTCCCATCAAGGGTGGCCATTTCACTCAGCCCTGTAGGCATCTACCCATTTTGTGTGTGATGGAGAAAAGCAAAGGGTCTGTGACAGTCTATAATCTTGTCCCACCAATCAAGAGACATTCCCCATCTGAGAAGAGATCTTAGAATAGATGAGGCAAGTTCCTTGGCTCGTAGGTCACCATGACCATTCCTGAGAGAGCATTCCCACCTTCCAGGCTGGATCATGACCTTGACGTCTTTCTGTTGCGGAGCTTCTTTTCTTCGTTGTTGCTGAGAACATACATGTGAATCATATAATGCTGCCAAAACAGAGGACTAGTTTACCTTTGGGTTTTAGTAAGCATTGTACTATTAGATGCTTCCAGGAAAAAAACATGAATTTTCAAGAGTGCATTTGGCTCTTGAATTGCTCTAGGAATTTTAAAGAGCACCATATTTTGCATTCAGGCTGATTGGTCTCTTGTTTCCCTCAACAGAATAAATGTTGAACAATATGCTTTAATTTAGATGACATACATACCTGGTAAAGATTTTCTGAATTTCATCACAATGACAAACCAGTTCCAGAAGACCATCCAGTATTGCTAGATTAATTTTAAAACATTATCGTCAAGAGTAAGGGGTAAATAAATTGTCTAAAGTGATATTTAGACATCACTTATTTATACAAAAGCTATCAACAAGGGTAAAACCAGGCAAAGTTCTCAGCCAGCACAGAGAATATTAGAATACATTTTTATTCAGTAACTTTATCCAGAATTGCTCAACCCTGTAAGAATGATCAAGAAAGGATGATGCCAGTGGCTACCACATTTGGCTAACTGTCCATAATCACACATTTCCCATAAACCACTTTCTGAGGTTTTTTTCACATTTTTTTTCTAAGTCCCAACAGTGCTATCCTACTGCACTACTATCTCATGAATTGTGCTCTTTACACGCTCTGAGATGCTGAAAAATATTGGCCTCTGAGGCCCTCCCCCTCCCCCTCCCCCTCTT